GCATATATTAATTTAATTAAATGAATACATAACAGATTAGCAACTGTGTAGGCAGTCAGGCGGTAGCAGTAGTTCAAGCCTAAGAATTCCTTTGCCATCTCTGTCTTGTCATAGTTGCATAACTTTGGGCTCACCGTCTTCATCAATAAAAAGAAAACTGAGTACTCGGTATCAGAAAGTAGAAGTGACTTTTTTTTTAATATTTTATTTATTTATTCATGAGAGACACACAGAGTGAGAGAGGCAGAGACAGGCAGAGACAGGCAGAGGGAGAAGCAGACTCCTTGCAGGGAGCCTGACATGTGGGACTCAATCCCGGGTCTCCAGGATCAATCAGGCCAAAGGCGGCACTAAACCGCTGAGCCTCCTGAGCCACCCGGGCTGCCCTAGAAGTGACTTTGTTATTAGCATCGCCTTAAATGTGTGCTATATATCAAAGTTTTAAAAATCTAATGTCTTTAAAATTGGACTTTTGAAAATTAAAAACTTCTGTACAATGAAAGATATATTAATAGAATAAAAAGGCAATTCACATAAAGGGAGAAAATATTTGCAGGTCATATAACTCAAACGGGATTAACATTTGGAACAGATAGAGAACTCCCCAAATTCAACAACATTTAAAACAAACAATCCTATTCGAAAATGTGCAAAAGACCTGGATAGACATTTCTCCAAAAAAGATATACAAATGGCCAACAAATACATGAAAAAGATTATCATCATCATTAGTCGTTAGGGAAACACAAATCAAAATCATACTGAGATATCTCATACCTTTCAGAAAGGCTATTAGCAAAAAGACGAGGAAAGCAAATGTTTGCAAGGATGTGGAAAAAAAGGAACTCTTGTGTACTGTTAGTGGACATGTAAATTGGTGCAGCCATTGCAGAAAAACTATATGGGGGTTCCTCAAAACATTAAAAATAGAACTACCATATGATCCAACAATTTGACTTCTGGATGTTTACTTGAAGAAAATAAAAACACTAATTGAAAAGATATATGTACCCCCTGTTCATTACAGCTTTATTTACAGCCAAACCATAGAAGTACCCTAAGTGACCATCAGTGGATTGAATGGATAAAGAACATGTGGTGTATATATACAATGTATTATTAATATTGTTCTTCCATAATAAGAAGGAAAATTTGCCATTTGTAACAATGTGGATGGATTTTGAAGACATTGTGCTAAGTTAAATAAGTCAGAGCAAGACAAATACTTTATGATCTCATTTATATGTGACCTCTAAGAAAAACTAAAAATACCCAACTAAAACAAAACACGGAACTCATAAACACAGAGAACAGATTGGTGATTGACCAACGTGGCGGGGACAGGGGTTGAGTGTGTGTAATGGATGACAGTGGTCAAAAGGTACAAACTTTTATTTATAAAATAATAAATCCTGGGGATGTAATGTACAGCATAGTGACTATAGTTAACAAAACTGTATTATGTATTTTAAAGTTGCTAAGAATAGATCTTAAAAATTCTCATCACAAGAGAAAAACCTGTAACTGTATGGTGATAGATGTTAACTAGACTTACTGTGATGATCATTTTGCAATGTATACAGATCATTTTGAATCATTGTACATCTGAGACAAATATGTTACATGTCAGTTATATCTCAATTACCACATGATCCAAGACTTCCACTTGTGGGTTCATACCCAAAGAATTGAAAGCTTGGTCTTGAAGAGATATTTGCATACTCCTATTTATAGCAGCATTATTTACAATAGCTAAAGGTGGAAGCAGCCCAAATGTCCATCAAGGAAAGAATGAATAAGCAAAATATGGGGGGGTATTATGAATATACACGCACAGTAGAATATTTTTCAGCCTTAAATGGTAAGGAAATTCTAACACATGCTGTAATGTGAGTGAACCTTGAGGACATTATGCAAAGAGAAATAAGCCAGTAACAAAAAGTTACATACAGATACTGTTTGATTTCACTTTCTTTGAGATACCAAGAGTAGTCAGTTCATAGAAACAAAGTAGAATGCTGGTTGCCAGAACCCAAGGAGGGAGGGGGCCTTGGGAGTTACGGTGTAATGGGTATGTCATTTCAGTTTTTCAAGATGAAGAGTTCTGGAGATAGTTGGTGGCAATGATTTCATAATTGTGTGAACTTTAAAATGGCAAATTTTATGTATATCTTATCTTAATACAAAATGGGAAAATCCACTGTGTTGTTTTCTCAAAAATAAAGGTAGAATAGTGTGTCCCATTTTATGAAGCCAGCATAACACTAATACCAAAACCTAAAATATTATAAAAAATAATTTTTTTAAAGATTTATTTATTTGACAGAGAGAGAGAGAGAGAGAGAGGGAGACTACAAGCAGGGGGAGTGGCAGGCAGAGGAAGAGGGAGAAGCAAGCTCCCCACTGAGCAGAGTCCAGTGTGAGGCTTGATCCCAGGACCCTGGGATGAGGACCTGAGCCAAAGGCAGATGCTTAACTGCCTAACCAACTGAGCCCCCCGGACACCCCAAAAAAGAAATTGTTAAAGAACAGTGTCCTTCGTGAATATTGATGCAGAAATCATTTACAAAATAATAATAGCAGATTGGATCCAGCAATCACAATACATCAGTACCAGAGAGGGTTTATCCCAGGATTACAAAGTTGGTTTAAAATTGAATGAATCAGTGTTATTCATAACATTAACAATAAAGGAGAAAAGCCATATGATTATTTCAAAATATGTTGAAAAGTATTTGACAATTCAGTATCTGTTCATGGCTAAAAACTCTTAGCCAAACGAGGAATAGTAGGGAACTCCTTCCAACTGATAAACAACATCCACCAACCTATAGCTAATGTCAAACTTAACCACTGCTCCCTGAGATTAGGAACAAAGCAAAAATGTTTGTTTTAACCACTTACATTCATTATTGTTTCAGAGGGCCACTCGTTGCAATAAGGCATAAACGCAGGGAAAACTAGTAAAAGGCATAAAGATTGGAAAGGAAGAAATACCATTGTCCTCGTTTGCAGATTATGTAATTGTTCACATAGAAAAATTTCAATGATTCTAAACAAACTTAATGAAGTTATACAAGGTTAATATATAGTTATCTATCATATTTTATATACTTGATCATTTTATAAATGTGAAAGAGATACAAGCCAGACTCAACTTTTCCCCAAATTTTTATTATAGAATTTTTCAATTATACAGAGAAGTTATAAGAACCACACAATGAACATACACATATTTACTGCCTAGGTTCTGTAGTTTATTAACTTTTGCTGCATTTACTTTACCAAATAGTCCATCTAATCATTCACCTATCTATCTTAATTTTATTCATTCCAAAATAAGTTGTAGACCTCAGTAATGCTTCAAGTGTAACATTTGTTTCATTAAAATTCTCATATTTATATGCTTTGTTTTTCCTTACAATAAAATTTAAATACAATGAAAAGTGTAATCATAGTGGTATCATTCTATGAGTTTTGACAAAGGCATTCACTTATGTAATCAAAATTCTGTGTATAGAACATTTTTATTATCTTAGTAAAATACCCTTATGGCTCTTCCTAGGCAGCCCTTCCCTCACCCTCCAGAGGTAGTTCATTTTAATTCCTGTTTTAGCTTTTCAGTTAAAGCTTCCTTGTGTTGTTTTTTTGCTTGTTTGTTTTTTGTTTTTTAAGCAATTGCTTTGGAGCAATTGTTAAAATCTTTAACTTTTCATAATAAACTTTAGGTTGATCCTGTATAATTTCATGTAAAGGAACCTCGCACAGATAAAATTTCAGGTGTCCCTAATACTTGCTCTTTGTGCTATAATTTTTATGTATGTGATATTTGTGTATTCTGTAGGTCCTAATACAGTGTTCTATGTTGTTCTTTAATTAGGCTTGCATATTTTAAAGATACTAAGAGGCTAATATAATTTTTTATATCTTCATATTTCTGAATATTTTCAGATAAAATACTCATCTGAAGCCAATCCACAAACTTTATCTTTCCTGCAGTGGGTAGCATCAGAAATCTCTGTTCTGTTTTTTTAGCATTAGCTGGGCAACTTGGAATCTGCTCCACATATACATATTTCAAAGGTCAACCAGAGATTTGGGCAGAATGAATATGCAGGATTTGAGGGTCCCCTTCTTTACCCCCCCTTCTGGAATTTCCTTTTGTTTCTAGATCTCTGCTTGTTCACTGGAACTCTCTGGTGATGGAAATATTTTATAATCTGTACTATCCAAAATGGTAGCTACTTAATACATGTGGCTTTTGAACACTTAAAATGTGGCTAGTGCAGCTAAAAAATGGAATTTTAAATTTTAATTTATATTTAAATATATTCACATTTGTCTAGTGAATACTATATTGAATAGACTATCATTAAAGAAAGTTCTTTTGGACAGCACTGTCGTAGCTTCTGTGGTCATCTTGACCTCTGTCATCCTATTTCTCAGCTAATAATAAGGCTAGAGGCTTTTATTTAGAATTAAACTGATCGGTGCAGTCAAGCTGGAGCCTTCCCTCAACTGTGTAATGATTTAGAAACTGGGAAGCTCAAGCAGTACTCTTTTTTTCCCTCCCTTCCAATTTATGCATAATTTTGATTGCTCTCCAGAGACCTGAAGTAGTTGTTCTTATATTTTTTTTACTATAGTTTATAATTATATTTGTGTCCAGTAAGAATTACTCCACTTAATCAGAAGTCAAACTCCACACTTTATTTTTTATTTTTATTTCTCTACCTCTTACCTTCTAAATTATTTTAGCACTGACCCAATTTTAAGCAATTCATTTTTTTGTGCTTTGTTATTAAAATTCATTTGCCAACCACTTATTATCCTTTCCCCTTTACCCTTGCTAAAAAAGTATCACTAACCTTTAAGGTTACTGAATCTTAATACTGTGAATTTGATATTCCCATCTCAGATATGCTAGAATTTAATGGAATTCTTCAAAGCAGTAAACACATATCATTGATAACCTGTTTGGTGTACTTTGCCTTTTCTAGGTACCTGAAAAGGTTTAAGGTGATGAAGATCAAAGTTCTAAGAAGCTGGTGCCGTCAGATCCTTAAAGGACTTCAGTTTCTTCATACTCGAACTCCACCTATTATTCACCGAGATCTTAAGTGTGACAATATCTTTATCACTGGCCCTACAGGCTCAGTCAAGATTGGAGACCTAGGTCTGGCAACCCTGAAGCGGGCTTCTTTTGCCAAGAGTGTGATAGGTATGTTTCAGGTGTACCTTGCATCCTAACTGGTTTTCTGATACTCTTTACTTAGAAACCTGACCCTGTCAGAGCCTTTATTATGTGAAATAAGCCTTCAGAAATTCATAGCTTGAACTCAGGAAGTGATCAGTTTTACTTATGAGATGTGGAGTTCTCTATATGCTTTTAGAATCATATGAAGAGAAGTAAGGTGAACTTTGTTGACAAAACCTTATGTAACTATCATTCTTATTGGGTCATCCTGTTGATATTTAGTATTATATACTTATTTGTATAATAGATATAGAGTTACTTTCTTATAAAAGAAATTGAATTTATATGTAGTTTAGTTTATAAAAAAATGTTAAATATGTATTCAAAAAGTGTTCAAAAGTAATTACCTGTTAAGACTTTATTTTAAAAAGTGAAAATATGAGTTTATTATGAAAGCTTGGTTTTAACTTTTCTTACTCCTGTTCTTCAGAAGATATATCTGAAACAGGGCTTTTCAGCCCTGTATTATTTGGCATTTGGAGTTGAATAGTTCTTTGTTGTAAGGGCTTTCTTGTGCATTGTAAGATTATTTAGATGCCAAGAGCACATCCCCTTTCCAGTTCTCCCCCAGTTGTTACAACCAAAAAGATCTCTGAACATTGCTAAATGTTCCCGGATAACAAAATCAACCCCTTATTGAGAATTGCTGATCTAAAGAACAAGGCTAGCCTTTCAGACTTTCAGCTATGTGTTAGAAAGTTGCAGCTGGAAAAATAATTTAATGCTTATTATTTTGATAAACTTTCACTCTCTGAAGAGGCTATGACAATTTTAAAACGTGAAATCTTCACAAATACTCTGTTCTCCCCCCACAGGTGGTTACAACAAGGAAACCATTAGTTTTTAAGTGCACTAGAATTTTATGTATTAATAGAAAACCATAGAACACCAGTAATTTGTACATTCTTATAGTGTTCTCCTTAGAATATTATGTAACTTGGATTCAGAATGCTAGTTTTCAATTTTCTTACAATAGATTAACAAGAAAAATTGGAGAAGAGTTATTTAAAGCTCAGTTTCCTTTTTGCCTTCCTTACAGGAAAAGGAAACATTTCTTTGATTTCCTTTGGCTCCTTAAAAATCTCTAACCTAAGAAAGGTGCCCCCCCCCACTTTTTTGTTTAGATCATATTACATACTAGGATCTATTTATTTTTCCATTCTTGGAAATGTCCCACAATATGAGGTATCCAAACTTAATTTCTTTGGAAACATTGGAAAACCTGGTCTATAGGGTCACACACTCATAATTCAGTTTGTATTTGAGTTCTCTGTGATGCATTTGTTTTTTGTCTGCAAGATCTGTAAAATGTCCTTCACTATATTTCTTGTATCTGCAGTAGGCTTATTTGTGTACTGCAGGTAGTATGGTAAGTATGTGAAGAAAGGGGCTCTGGGGAGTGGCCTTTATAGACAATTACACTTTATTACTATTTTAAAAACATATTGAATGTTGGATTTTCCACTGCAAGGCCTTCCTAAAAGTAAAACTGATCAGGTTAATGGCCAAAGACTAGCTATAAATATTAATCTTACAGCTACCATACAGTAGGGGGCAGACAAGTATTTTGATCTTTTTTAACCCATCCTGTCTTATTGGTAGATGCCATTATATTTCTTGCTAATCCCTTACTTTTTCTTCCATTTGTTTTCATTATGAGTTATATCAGTTTCTCTCCTAACCAAGTCTCTATTTTGACATTGTATAACAGTAATCCATTTGAAATAGCAACTAAATAGACACTAGACCCTGTTCAGTTTCTTTCATGAAGGCCATGCAGCAGAAGATTTATAAGATATTTGGTGGAAGAGACTAAGATTTTTTTCCTCTTCCCTGCCACTCTTCTTTCTTCTTTTCCCCCACTTTCACTTTCTTCTATTTTACTGGTCATCCCCTTGGCTTCTCCCCCAAGTGAGTAATATTTGTTACTCTGTTCACGTTGAGTCTGAATTGTTCTTTTAATTTAAGGTACCCCAGAGTTCATGGCCCCTGAGATGTATGAGGAAAAATATGATGAATCTGTTGATGTTTACGCTTTTGGAATGTGCATGCTTGAGATGGCCACATCGGAATACCCTTACTCAGAGTGCCAAAATGCTGCGCAGATCTACCGTCGAGTGACCAGTGTAAGTCTTCCCTTAACTGTGAGCTTAAGTCACACCAAAGAAGGAATGCCAAGCTGGATATCATCAAACCATGCAAAAGGAAACAATAGTAGAATGCACACTCAGGTGTTGGGGTAAGAGGGAGTTGAAAGATTTTATTGCTCCTGATTTAGTGAGCACAAAAATAAAGATCAAAGAAATACCAGTATATTCTGGATCCTCCTTGCATTCATTTAAATCTTGAGATATATTATGTTTAAAAATGCTCTCATTACTACCTTTCAAACCTCTATTTATTCATCTAAGTTCTCATTCCCTCCAACCATAAAACATATTATCTGAGTTAAAAATAATGCTCTTAACTCAAGTTGCTTTGTTCACAGACCTTTCCCTAAGTGGTTTAAAATTGATTTATGAATTTATTAAATCATTTATAAGTACCACAGGGTTTAAGGCATAACAATAATTTCTGGATCATCTATATACCCTAACCTATTAAGATATTGGCCCTGTTGTTTCAGAGATGTCTGTTTACAGTCAGTGTTCAAAATAGGATGCATCAGAGTCCACAGAAGATACTTTATTTTTATGTCTCTTAATCTACATCTGTTGCCCCCTACTTTCTTTTTCTCAGGCTAGGTGAGGGCAGGAGAAGTGTCATAAATGTAGTTTGTTTAGCCTTTGGATAATTCTGACAAGTATTCAGTACTCTCCATTCTTCCCCCAATGCCTAATAATTTACATTATCACTTTTTTCTTTGGGGTAGGATGGAGTAGATGGATTATTCACTGGATAATTCCTCCTTGTATTTTATTTAGAATTCCTGAAACCTCAAGAAGTATGTTTGATTCCTTGTTTTTTATTCACATCTTCTGTTTATCAGGTTCTTGGTTCAGAATAATTCTTAGATACAGACTTCATTTCCATTGTCAGAACTCTGATTTCACGTCTTCCTTGCTTCATTCCTTACACTATCATCCTGAAGTAGTTAACATTATGAATTTGTTTCTCTGCTTCACTTGAACTAGTTGAAATTTCTTGCTATTTCTTTTTGTTATAGGGAACTTATATAAAATCAGTTTGCTTATGAAAGCATGTACAGGTTCTTATTATAATGTTTGCTGTTCCTCATTTTATCTAAACACCTTTTTTTAGTCAAGCTAGTCCTCTTTATCATCTTGCACACATGCCACATCCTTTCCTTTTTTCCCTCTCCATTTGTACACACTATTTACCTTTTGTGCATGCGCTTCTACTATCCAGTCAGTTTTTATACTGGATTTAACAGACTTCCCCACAAAATTTTATTTCATGGGCTTCACTACATAATGATTTTTGCCTTCTCTGAGTTGAGTTTCTTAACTGGTCTGAATCATAGCTTTTTTTTTTTTTTTTAAGATTTATTTATTTATTTATTCATGATAGACTAAGAGAGAGAGGCAGAGACACAGGCAGAGGGAGAAGCAGGCTCCATGCAGGGAGCCCGACGCGGGACTCGATCCAGGACTCCAGGATTGCGCCCTGGGCCAAAGGCAGGCGCCAAACCCCTGAGCCACCCAGGGATCCCCTGAATCATAGCATTTTATTTGTAATTGATTTTTACTTAAGAGTTCAAAAATTGAATTAATCCTAAAGAATTTTAAAATAAGTCTCAAGTGCAAATACATGCAACATTTTCTTTATCCCTGCTACATGCCAAGTCCAGAGCCTGACATTAGGTAAATTAAAGATGGGTAACATGCATATTCCCTGTCTTCAGAAAACTAACTCTAACATAGAAGATAAATGTGTAAGCAGACAGTTGTAATTATAGTATGATGGCTTATTGGCAGGGTTTTTTTTTCCTTTGGAAAAATGCCTATTCATATCCTTTGCTTGTTTTTTAATAGGGTTTTCTTTTTATTATTGGGTTGGGCAAGTTCTTTGTATATTCTAGATAGAAATCCTTTATGAGATAGATGATTCTGAATTATTTTCTCCCATTCTGTCAGTTGTCCTTTTAAAAAAAAAAAAGATTTATTTATTTGAGAGAGAGGAAGAGAGAATCAGAGAATCTCAAGTAGACTCCACACACTAAGTGCGGAGCCTAACACACGGCTTAATCTCTCAACCCCAAGATCATGACCTGAGCCAAAATCAAGAGTTGGATGCTTAATTGACTCAGATACCCCAAACACCCAAGTTGTCTTTTCTTAAGAGTGTCGATATATTATTATTGCCCTTTAGAACACAAAAGTTTTTCATTTTGATGAGGCCAAGTTTACATAGTTTATCATGTTTTTCTCATGCTTTTGGTAATATCAATAAATCTATTTCCAAACCTCAGATCAGGTGTGTTTTCTTTCAGGAGTTTTGTTTTAGTTCTTGTAATTAGATCTTTGATTTATTTTGAGATAATTTTTATATATGATATGAGGTAAGGGTTTTAACTTGATTCTTTTGCTTGTGACAATTATCCAGCTGTCCCAGCACCGTTTATTGAAAAGACCATTACTTCTCGATTGAAAGATTTCACCCTTGCTGATCATCAGTTGAGCATAGGCACATGAGTTTATTCCTGGACTCTCAGTTCTGTTCCGTGGATCTATATGTCTTGATTACCATTGTTTTGTAGTAAGTTTTGAATTGGGAAGTGTGAGTCCTTCTAATTATTCTTCAAGTTTTGACTCTTCTTGATCCTTTGCAACTCTATATAAATTTTAGATTCCGCTTGTCAATTTTTACAGTTCAGCTGGAATCTTGATACATATGGCATTGAATCCATAGATCAGTTTGGAGACTTGCCATCTTAACCATACTGAATCTTCTAGTTCATGAACATGGAATGTTTTTCCATTTACTTAGACCTGTAATTTACTTCAGTCATGTTTTATAGTTTTCAGAGTATAAGTCTTGTACTTCTTTAATTAAGTTTATTCTAAGTAATATATTTTTGGGAGAGATTCTATTATACATGGAATTGAGTTTATTTCAATTTTTGATTGTTGATTACAAATACCACTGGTTTTTGCATATTGATTTTGACTCACAAACTTACTGAATTTATTAGTTTTAATAGTTCTTTAGTAGATTCCTTAGGATTTTCTATATACAAGCTAATTTAATCTGCAAACATAGTTAGTAAAAGAACTTAAGACTTGGGACACCTAGGTGCCTCAGTGGTTGGGTGTCTGCTTTGGGCTCAGGGCGTGGTCCAGCGATGAGTCCCACGTCGGGCTCCCAGAGAGGAGCCTGCTTCTCCCTCCATCTGTGTCTTTGCCTTTCTCTCCGTGTCTTTCATGAATAAATAAAATCTTTTAAAACAAACAAGCAAATATAAGACTTGGCAGTGTGGGTGTATGCTTGTAAGAAAATTCTTGTAAAGAAAGAATTGAAAAACAAAATGACTTTTGGTTTAATGAATAGAATTTAGGGATAAAGTTGAAAACAAAACAAAACAAAAGACTGTGTGTGGTTGGCTTCTGGGAATTTTCTAGTGAGAAAAAAGAGACCTATCTCCTGATATGTCAGGTCCACTCCCATTGTAATTTATACAGTTTGTATATGTGAGAAGATTAACATGTAATTCTCAACATTTTCAGGAAAATAACCAGTAAGAGTTTATTTTTAAAAGTTAACTACAGGAATAAGTAAAACTTTATAAGTGAATTACTTTTATTTTTTTACTTAAGGGTAATTTGCCATTTTTTAAAAAGTTGTCTTGGATTTTATTTTGTTTCATTAACTCTCCTGATTTTGCTAGAAATGATAGAATGGTTGTCAAATTAAAATATTGAATTAAATCTGAACTACCCAGTTGTTTTGATAGGTTCAGATCCTTGTTTGAATCCAAATATGTGAATTTAATCATTTATTCTATCATATCCTATTACAGTAAAGTTAACTCACCATGTGCACTCATATTGATTACATTTTTTTAACCTAACTTTCAAGGAAAAGTTAAGATTTGGTGTATAGAGAGACACAGGAAACTATCATTGGTCCAAGTATTTGAGCATAGTTTTCAGGGACTGTTGTAACAAAGAACCACAAATTGGGTGATTTAAACCAGCAGAAATTTATTGTCTCACAATTCTGAGGCCAGAAGTCCCAAATCAAGGTTTTAGCAAGGTCATGTTCTCTCTAACACATGGAGGGGAGAACTTTCCATTGCCTCTTATCTTCTGATGGTTTGCTAGCAATCCTTAGCATTCCATAGCTTGCACCTGCAGCACTTCAGTCTCTGTCTCACATGATGGTCTTCTCTCATCTGTGTCTTCTCTTATAAAGACACCAGTCAGATTGTGGTAAAGGACTAAGAACAGTTTTTACATTTTAAGTGATTGGGGAAAAAGAAGAAAAATATGCCATGTCATGTCAACCTTTCAGTGTCCATAAATAAAGTAATAAATCACAGCCACGCTGATTTGTTTCTGTATTATCTTTGTATTCACGTATTACAGTGGCAGAGTGAGTAACTGGAAGACTATGTGGTCCCAAAAGCTTAAAATATGTACTATTTGGGCTTTTAACAGAAATAGCTGTAGACTGCTATTCTAAACACAGGTCACCAGAACTTCTTTAAAAAAAATTCTCCACTGAAGAGATCTGTGTAAGTAATTACTCATCTGTAAAAGTAGTGATAAAATGTTTCTCTGTTGGAATTCTGTTTGCCTCTGCACTTAACAGTAGACCTGAGAATCTCAGTGCATGCAAGTTAAATTTTTAGTTCTTAAATTTTTAGCTCTGAAAATTTGTGGGCACTTTTCTGTCAAAAGTAGAACTATTACTTTAATTCTATGATGAAAACATAAGAGGTTTTAATATATAAGTTTTTTCAGTGGCCATACTTAATACTGGTACTGGCCTAAGAAATAACATCTGAAGCCCAGTATTACTGCTTGAGGTGATCATTCTGGATTTTAAACACAAGGGTTTATGAATCAGTATCCTTTATTTACTTGAAAGCAGTGCTGAATGTTTTTTTAATGTCAAACAGACTAGATAGATGCAATATACACATCAGATAGCTATAGCCATA